TTTATGTTTCAATCCGCTGATGAAAATCCTTGAAACCAAAGAGTACACTAACTGTGGTTATTTCTGGGACCCAACTTCAGGACTGAAAGCCAAATCTTGGCCCCAATTTGCTGACGACTCAGCGATTATCGCCCACAGTTCTGAAGGCGCCCAGAAACTAATCGATTTGAATTACGCGTGGTGCAATTGGTCAAAAATGAAAATGAGAATCGACAAATGCAACTCATTTGGCATGAGGAAAAAAGAGGGGACCTACGAACAATTCTCTCCGAGATTGACAATTGATGATGAAGTCATTCCAAACATAGAAATTGGAAGTAGTTTTGTCTACTTAGGTAGATTATATGATTTTGAAGGTAAGGATACAAGAGCCAAAAAGGAAGTTAGCGCAAAACTGACCAAACTGCTAGAGACCACCTCTGGCCTTGACATCAAACCGCAACAGAGACTAAAAATACTACGATACTTCATTCCAACACAAATTCAATTTGAACTCCGCAACTATAATTTCTCGCCAACATGGATATCGTCCCACCTAGATAACCTGATTGTAAGTAAAGTCAGGGAGTGGCTCTCGATGCCGATCAGCGGATGTGTAGCGGAAATTCTTTCACTACCAATGAAACTCGGGGGTAATAACATCATGTCACTAAGAGACACTGCAGAAAAAACAAAAATGAAAGTTCGCAGCTATTTAAAGAACAGCGATAATGAAGAAATTAAATGCTTATGGCACGAAACCTCTTCAAACTTTGTCAAACCTGACAGTTCGCTGAAAGTAACAGGCTTATTAAAGCAGTCTCTCAAACTCCTTGATGAATCCCGAGTGAAGTCATGTCTCAACCACATCATCGAACTTCAATCTCAAGGTACAGTGCTCAGGTCAATTGGCGAACTTATTACTCCGGCACGGATAACTTGTTGGTCGAAAATTGTTGACAACATGTCCGGGATACATTACAGATTTGTGAGAAAATACATAATTCAACAACTGCCCACAAATTCAAATCTGGTCAAATGGGGCAAAACCACAACTCCCTTGTGCCCACTGTGTAACGTTCGACAAACAAACAAGCATGTAGTGTCTAACTGTGGTTCAACATCAGCTCTGAAGAGATACACAGATAGACATAATAAAGTACTGGCGTTGATGATGGACGAGTTGAAGTTACAGGCTCCAAACGATTGCTGTTTGTTTGCAGATTTGGAAAGGGAAGGCATTCGACCAATTCAATAGGCATCACTCCTATTCAACACGTTACGACCAGACATTGCCATTTTGAGGGGCAATAAGATTGAAATATTAGAACTGACGATATGCCATGAAACTAATCTAATTTCATCGAAACAATATAAACAACAAAAATATAAAAATTTAAATGCATATCTAAATAAAGAATATAAAGATTGTTCTATAATAATTAATACATTTGAATT